AGCTGGCAAAAGACACGAAAAATCGTCGATTCTTTCGTATTTGAAGCAATTTGGAAATCGAAGCGGAATAGAATTTAACATTAGTAAATAATATAAAATAAATATTGAAAATTGTAACGAGATAATTATGGGTAATAGATATAATATATCTAAATAAATAGATGTTATATGTTTTTATCAAAGCAAGAATTGGCATTTAGAGGGCGTATGGAATATATTGGATTTAATAACAGAAATAATTATATTAAACTTGTTTATTAAGTACGTCAGATAAATAATCTATTAAAAATACATTTAAAGAAAGAATTAACTGATTGCCCCTAGATGTCGGCTTCTTATAGAAACACAGCTTCCCTATCATCAAATGTCACGGCACGCCCCTAGGGAAATATGAGAATTGAAAGTTGTTCACTTCGAAAATGTGTAACAATGGAAGTGAAAATAATGGAAGTGTTAACAATGGAAGTGTTAAGAGAAAGCAGCGTGCAAGGTTTACAGGCGCAGATGCAGTTTTTTTGGTTTTTGCAAGAAATCTAACATATTTTTAGACCCATGTAAAAATTTTCTAATTAGTCTGGAAACGGGGGACCTAATTCTTGCATTTTGTGAAAATGGGTAAGATTGACTGTAATGTAATCTTAATCTTAAATGTTTTCGAATAGTCAAGGACCGTTATGTGTAATTAGTGGGAATGGCTTTTGGAGACGTGTGATGCACATTCTTCAGTTGATTTTTCATAAGTAAAAGTGTATGAATAACAGAAACAAGTAGAAAGTGAAAAGTGAATAGTGAAGTGTAAAAAGTAAAATATACAAAACAATGCCAAAGCATAAAAAAGAAGTTTTGCGGTCTCGAATCATATCGAAACAGAAATAATTAGACAGAAGAGCAACTTGAGAATTATAGGGAAACACATCCAATCAAAGAAAGATTACGTAGAGGAAGAAAAACAGTCTTTTATATATATAAAAGACTGTTTTTCTTCTTCTATATTTTCTTCCTCTAAAAGACTGTTTTTCTTTCTCTGTTTTTCTTATATATATATATATATATAAACTATATTAGATATAAATGTACGAACAAATAAAACCCAGAGAAGCGGATATTTGCAGCTAGGACTTAATATTTTTTAATAACAATTAGTTAATATTTTCCACATTATATTATATAAATTGATACGATTAAACCAAAATAAAAATATAATATTAATATATTTCTTTGATTTTTACGGTTTAGAAAAAGATTTTTCTCAACGCCTCATTGTCTCTTGATCAATATCATTATTCATCATATCACTGTGATCAATAACATTTTCAATATGATCAATAGTATAATAATATGACCAATCAAACTCTTGATCATATCACTATGATTAACATAAATATATTTTATTTTTATATCGATGCTAACAAAGTTGAAGCTATCAAAATTGAAAGTTTTGATAGCTTGAATTTTGATAGAAATATGGCGGTGCAATCTCATAATTTTGACTCTGCGATTGTAGATTTCATCGAAATGCCTGACAAGAAGCTTTGACTGATAAATCTAGATTAATTTATTCGTAAAAAGTTTTTATTACGCTAGTTCTACTGAAGTACACAATTATAATTATTAATTAGTTAAAGAATAGTTAGTAATTATTTAATTCTAGATATATTTTGGATGAGAGTAAGGATTCGTTATTAATTACTGAGAAAATATATACTTTTTACATATACTCTAATAAGCAGAGAATACACACGTAAAATTAATATTTACTAGTTAAACTAATAATATATTAATGAAATTAAAATTGAATTTGTTTAATAACATCTAAATAATATATAATTTTAAAAAGTTTACCTTTCTGCTACACAAAAAGCTGAAGTTGTTTTGATGTGATTCTCAAGACCTACAAATATATTTTCATGAAATTTTTCCTGTTGGTTTTTAACTTATACAGGAAATATCTATAATTATTAAGAAATTGCACGACACGCATAAATAATAGCTTTATATGATTACTTATTTATTATTATAAAAATCATATTTCAGGAAGAATGATTTAAATTAGAAGACAATACTTTTTTAATTTTAAACCTGCTGCCAAATTTTTAATTTTAAAACGTTTACTCCTTACCTTAAATCAGTAGTGTTTTGTCCATCATAATTTTCGCTGACAATAAATTAAATCATACTTTTCCGTTAACAATCAAGTCCTGCCAGTCATCTGTGCAATTGTTTCAGGGAAACATTGTTAAATTCGAATAACATGGCATCATCTTTGCGCAGAAAGTTCGTACATAGTTAATCGGGGCTTGCTGACCCGATTAACTATATACGAACTATATGCTTTTCATTTTCGACTTTGCTTACAATATCTAACAACGTTGTTCACATCAAAGAAAGACAGTGTGACAGACAGTGGGCAAAATACTGAGTGTTTTAAGTCTACAACTTGTTGCTAATAAATCAATGCCTTCCACTCTTCAAATAATATAATACAAAGACGAATACAAATATTTTTAACACGAAAAATTAATATTGCTTTCCTATCAAAAATTTCGTATAAAGTAAAGTTTTCGATCGGTTGAATTTCGATAGAAATATGGCGGTGCAATCTTGTAGTTTAGAATATGAGATTTCACCTCCATATTTCCATCGAATTGCATGACAAGAAGATTTGACTAATAAACTTGAATTAATTTATTTGTAAAAACTTTTTATTTACTCGTCCTATAGATGTACCTGTACACAATTATAAATATTAATTTGTTATAAATAAATAATCTATTAAAAATACATTTAAAGAAAGAATTAACTGATTGCCCCTAGATGTCGGCTTCTTATAGAAACACAGCTTCCCTATCATCAAATGTCACGGCACGCCCCTAGGGAAATATGAGAATTGAAAGTTGTTCACTTCGAAAATGTGTANTAAATAATCTATTAAAAATACATTTAAAGAAAGAATTAACTGATTGCCCCTAGATGTCGGCTTCTTATAGAAACACAGCTTCCCTATCATCAAATGTCACGGCACGCCCCTAGGGAAATATGAGAATTGAAAGTTGTTCACTTCGAAAATGTGTAACAATGGAAGTGAAAATAATGGAAGTGTTAACAATGGAAGTGTTAAGAGAAAGCAGCGTGCAAGGTTTACAGGCGCAGATGCAGTTTTTTTGGTTTTTGCAAGAAATCTAACATATTTTTAGACCCATGTAAAAATTTTCTAATTAGTCTGGAAACGGGGGACCTAATTCTTGCATTTTGTGAAAATGGGTAAGATTGACTGTAATGTAATCTTAATCTTAAATGTTTTCGAATAGTCAAGGACCGTTATGTGTAATTAGTGGGAATGGCTTTTGGAGACGTGTGATGCACATTCTTCAGTTGATTTTTCATAAGTAAAAGTGTATGAATAACAGAAACAAGTAGAAAGTGAAAAGTGAATAGTGAAGTGTAAAAAGTAAAATATACAAAACAATGCCAAAGCATAAAAAAGAAGTTTTGCGGTCTCGAATCATATCGAAACAGAAATAATTAGACAGAAGAGCAACTTGAGAATTATAGGGAAACACATCCAATCAAAGAAAGATTACGTAGAGGAAGAAAAACAGTCTTTTATATATATAAAAGACTGTTTTTCTTCTTCTATATTTTCTTCCTCTAAAAGACTGTTTTTCTTTCTCTGTTTTTCTTATATATATATATATATATAAACTATATTAGATATAAATGTACGAACAAATAAAACCCAGAGAAGCGGATATTTGCAGCTAGGACTTAATATTTTTTAATAACAATTAGTTAATATTTTCCACATTATATTATATAAATTGATACGATTAAACCAAAATAAAAATATAATATTAATATATTTCTTTGATTTTTACGGTTTAGAAAAAGATTTTTCTCAACGCCTCATTGTCTCTTGATCAATATCATTATTCATCATATCACTGTGATCAATAACATTTTCAATATGATCAATAGTATAATAATATGACCAATCAAACTCTTGATCATATCACTATGATTAACATAAATATATTTTATTTTTATATCGATGCTAACAAAGTTGAAGCTATCAAAATTGAAAGTTTTGATAGCTTGAATTTTGATAGAAATATGGCGGTGCAATCTCATAATTTTGACTCTGCGATTGTAGATTCCATCGAAATGCCTGACAAGAAGCTTTGACTGATAAATCTAGATTAATTTATTCGTAAAAAGTTTTTATTACGCTAGTTCTACTGAAGTACACAATTATAATTATTAATTAGTTAAAGAATAGTTAGTAATTATTTAATTCTAGATATATTTTGGATGAGAGTAAGGATTCGTTATTAATTACTGAGAAAATATATACTTTTTACATATACTCTAATAAGCAGAGAATACACACGTAAAATTAATATTTACTAGTTAAACTAATAATATATTAATGAAATTAAAATTGAATTTGTTTAATAACATCTAAATAATATATAATTTTAAAAAGTTTACCTTTCTGCTACACAAAAAGCTGAAGTTGTTTTGATGTGATTCTCAAGACCTACAAATATATTTTCATGAAATTTTTCCTGTTGGTTTTTAACTTATACAGGAAATATCTATAATTATTAAGAAATTGCACGACACGCATAAATAATAGCTTTATATGATTACTTATTTATTATTATAAAAATCATATTTCAGGAAGAATGATTTAAATTAGAAGACAATACTTTTTTAATTTTAAACCTGCTGCCAAATTTTTAATTTTAAAACGTTTACTCCTTACCTTAAATCAGTAGTGTTTTGTCCATCATAATTTTCGCTGACAATAAATTAAATCATACTTTTCCGTTAACAATCAAGTCCTGCCAGTCATCTGTGCAATTGTTTCAGGGAAACATTGTTAAATTCGAATAACATGGCATCATCTTTGCGCAGAAAGTTCGTACATAGTTAATCGGGGCTTGCTGACCCGATTAACTATATACGAACTATATGCTTTTCATTTTCGACTTTGCTTACAATATCTAACAACGTTGTTCACATCAAAGAAAGACAGTGTGACAGACAGTGGGCAAAATACTGAGTGTTTTAAGTCTACAACTTGTTGCTAATAAATCAATGCCTTCCACTCTTCAAATAATATAATACAAAGACGAATACAAATATTTTTAACACGAAAAATTAATATTGCTTTCCTATCAAAAATTTCGTATAAAGTAAAGTTTTCGATCGGTTGAATTTCGATAGAAATATGGCGGTGCAATCTTGTAGTTTAGAATATGAGATTTCACCTCCATATTTCCATCGAATTGCATGACAAGAAGATTTGACTAATAAACTTGAATTAATTTATTTGTAAAAACTTTTTATTTACTCGTCCTATAGATGTACCTGTACACAATTATAAATATTAATTTGTTATAAATAAATAATAATTGTTTAATTCAATATGTAATTTAGATGATGGCAATCATTCGTTATTAATTACCGAGAAAAAATATATTTATTAGATATATAAGCAGAAAATACACATGTATAATTAATATTTATTAATTAAACTAATAATAGGTTAAAGCAGTAAAAATTGAATTTTTTCAGATAAAATCTAAATAATATATAATTTAAAAAATTGTGCATTTCTGCTGCAGTAAAAACTAAAATTGTTTTGAAATGATTTTCGAGACCTTCAATTCCATTTTCATGCGATTTTTCCTGCATAACTCATACGTTTGTGCGTGACCCGGAAGCAGCGTAATCTTTCGATTAATTATCTATTATTATAAAGATCATACTTCAGGAAGAATAATTGAAAATAAGACAATACTTTTGTGACTTTAAGCCTGCCAAATTTCTAAGTACTTTGATTTGTATACAAAGCTATGTTAAACATTCCCTTTTACGTATTAAACATATCATTATTTATACAATCTTATATTTTTTGTGTCACGCAATTACGTATTTTTTCTAAAGTTCCGCATTTTTCCTGCAGCTTAACTTAATAGATAATAGTCGAAATAACACGTGAAGTATATAAAATGTTTAACATTAATCCACAATATTTGTAATTATAGATTATATACATTTTATTAAAGACATTATAATGCTTATTGAGCCAACCTATAAAATACGTTAAGTAATAAATATTACTTTTACATTTCCACTCGATGGATATAATCTAATATGTAATAAGTATTTATTTCCTCGCTAAATATTAACGAGTTATTAAAGAAAAAAAATCAAAATGCTTCACTTTGTTTTCAATACAACCTAAATAAAGTTCCAATGTCTGTCCTCTCTGACGACAAAGTCGTGTAATGTTTTAGTTTATGTATTAGATCATGACTTTTATCTGACTAATCTGCACGTATCAATCAATTCTACACTTCAACGGAGTACAAATGTGATATTGGATAAGATTTATATAATAATGTATTAGCGAGGTTGAGGCCGAAGTTTTAAAGGAAAAACGTATACGTCGTATGTTCAGCGCCGCTTTCCTCTAAGCTTAGAAGTTTGAAATGGTGTTTGGAATGTCGAGCACGATTCCACTGACTATCCAAACACCATTGTCAAACTGCTAGGCTTACAGAAAAGCGGCGCTGAACGTCCAACTTACACGTTTTCGAGTTTAAAACTTCGGCCTCAACCTTGCTATTTATATGTAAAACAATGATATTTTATAGAAAGTAGAATAATAATAATTATTAAGAAAAAATAACGTTTGCAATTAATGATTTTTGCATTATAATTCAATACGTTTTCTTTCTTGTATGAGCTGTTATTATTTTCATTTTTGAATGTTTCAGTTTTTTGGACACTAACTTAAATATATTGTATATTTAAAGTATAAAATAATGGAAGTTAATATGAAAATAATAATTGAAAA